TAGATCACCATAATTAATATTTCACTTTGTTTTTCTCACATCACAGAGACTGTGCTTGCACATGTCCCTGGTTTTAGGCAGTGTTTGTACTTCCTGAGGTGATCCCTGCAGGGTTTTCTGAGAGTGCATCACCCTGGGTGATTTGAGCTCAGGCACTTGGATAGTGGAGTCAACATTTCCAGCACTGCAGCAACAAAGGACAAATGCTGGACAAGTATTTGGCTCAAGACAGGAGGATATTAAGAAAGGAGACTGTAATTTATGTCTCTGCATTTTTTAGGACAGAGCTGATGATACAGCTGAGCCAGGATAATTCTGGTTTTCTCTCAAATGGGGCACTCCTCATCCCTTCTCTCCTACACTCCCAACTGCACAACTCTCAGTGGAAACATTAATTTTGGAGATCACATTTGAAAAATGGTATTTTCCCTTCTAACTGGTTCTTTCAGTGGGGATTTTTTGTGTATTTCTTTCCTCTAACCAACTCTTCTGTTGTCCAAACACAGCCTTACCCCTGCAGATCAGAGGTGGAGCAAGCTGGTGGTGTGGTGCTGTATAAGGGCAGCTTTCCACCTCCCCCCTCACCTCGTACCCTGAAGGTTCTGCATTATAACATTTCATCCTTCCCTCTGCTGTTTCCTCTTGTGCTGAAGCCTTCTGCAGTTGGATTCCTGTTTGATTGTGTAACAAACCCATGAATTATTAACAGTATATAAAATATTGACAAACTGTTCTCTGAGATAGAACAGCTTTAAAGTATTGATTATGAATCCAGAGAATAATTAGTTTCTGCATAAGAGATAATTAAGTTATTATTGTTTCTCTTTTCTCTAATATAGTGATGGATAGAAGGCATTTATACCAAACTGTATGTAATCTTATTAAAATTAAGACAATAGGTTTATGAGCACTCAAGATAATGGGAAAATAAAGCATGATGGGGAAACATTTACAGTTCCAAAGAGCTCAGTTGGCAACATCCTCTTGTTGTGGAAAGAAATAATTTCAGGTTTGCTCTGAGGAAACTCCTGGGCACAGAGATGTGATTGACTTCAGCAGAGTCAGAATCTCATTTCCACTTGGTTTTAGCAGAAATCAAACCAACAGCACAGTGCTTTGTGTGCTTGTGAGCATTTTGAACCCAGGGGCTGACTTCGGTCAAATTTGGCTGATGGGGACACTCTTAGATATATTTTGTTTCTGCAGTTTTTATGCCAGCTTGCTGGCAAAGCCTTTGAAGTGTTAGTTTAGCTGTCATTAGGCATCAGAAAACTCATGCCAGAGCTCAATTTCCAGACAACAGGGCCCTGGTAACGAGTTTTTATGGATTCTGCTGCTCCAAAGTGATTTGTGCATCCTTTAAGTTAAACGCTTTTGCCACGAGGCTATGCCTTATGGAAACCTGATTTTATTCCATGGATCACAGTACAGGCAAAGTGTTTCCAGGCAGAACTGGGCAGCAGGGACCCACCCTGCTTGCTGTAGTGTGTCTTCCAGTGCTGTGCTGTGCAGCCCTTGGATCTATTCCCTCCACAGCAAACAGAGAGAAGGATTTTCTTCCAAGGTATAATTCATCTGAGCAAGTTTGGGAAGAGAAAAATCATTGTAGGCGTTTAAAATTAGGCAGGGTGAATCCCATGCTCAGAGTGTGGTGTTGCAGTGGAGCCAATATAAATGTCAGGAATGAGAAGCTGTGGGCTCTGCCAGAGGAGTGTGGCCTTCAGTGGATCCCTGCCTGCTCCTGCTTCCTCTGCCTCTTCCTCTGCTGCTTGCAATGAAATGAAATGCTCCAGTGATGAGCAGAATGCCACATCCAAAAACTGGGTGAGAGCAAAACTAACAGTTCCTGGGACACATTCTCTTTGAATACCGAGGATCTCCTGGTGCTCTTTGAATACATATTACCTGTTCCTGGGAAGCCCCCTCTTAAACTGGTATGTGGTTGGCCACTGAGAGAAAATAAGGTAGAAAGAAAATTTAGGAAGCTGATCCTCCACCCCTGTGCACAGGGCAGGATCAGCAGTGCCAAAAACCTTCCCCATTAGACCATTTGCTCCTGACCCTCTCAGAGGTGAAGGTTCCCCACCTCTCCTCAATCATGAATTTCATGAATTATCCCTAATATTTACATTTCCTAAAGTATAACCTTTTACAGCCAGGAACCTCAAGCAAAGAGAAATTTCAGACAAGTTAAATTCACAGGGTGAATTAGTGCTACAATTTTTTATCTTATGAGAAAGCACAAAAACTGTCTAACATACCAGGAAACCTGCAGCATCACTTTGGACAAACACTTGCAAATCCTGGAACTTTTGTACATTTTCAGTTGCTTTTCATCATTTTGAGGTTATGAGCCTGTTGGAATTCCTGTTTTCTTGCACAGCATCATTGGATGATTCTCACCACCAAAGAAGGCTTAAGGGCAGAGCTGAAGTGACTTCCTTCAAGATACACTTTTTTCTCCAGAAAAAGAAAGGAATGCCAGACAGCAACAGGAAGACAGCACTGTCCTGACCCCAGCATGGTGCTGGCTGCAGAAACCGGAGCTTGTTTTTTTTTGAATGGTCACTTTTCAGTGCCTCTCACCCCAGCAGCTCGTCCAGCTCTGTCCAGCAGCTGCCTGACCTGCTCCCCTGCTGGGCTTGAGCCCAGAACCGGGCTCAAATAGCTGCTTTTAACAGCTTCTCATCTCCCAGCTTTCCTGTGGCATCTGGTAGGCGCAAATTGCTTTGCTAGACTTCTGCAATAGGAAGGAGCTGCACTGTCAAAGCCATGTGGGGACAAAGCCACATTCAATCATGCTGTCCAATTTAATTCAAAGAAATACTGCATCAAAGAAGCTGGGAATAGAAGCAGGTAAGGAATTTATTTGCCGATCTCAAGAACTGTGTTGAACAACTCATAAAACGCATGAAGTCTATGAGGGAATGTGCTGTTAGAATTTCCACCAAGTTTGTTACAGCCAACCCTTAAATCCCACCTTCTAGGCCAAATCCACTCCAAATCTCTGGTATCTACGTGCTAATGGCAAACAAGCCTTGGATCTGGGTGTTGCTAATGCAAGAGGAGTCTGGGGAGAGGCTGAGTGATGAACATCCCCTGAATTGTGAAATGAAGTTGAAAGTGCAGCTGTCGGTCGGGAAAGCGGACACGACAGCGCTCCCTTAGACTTTAATAGGCTGCTTGTGTGGCTGCTTTCATGATTTAACATTTGTTTGATAGTTCCTCTCTCTTTTGCTTTTGGATGGAGATGTGAGCATTCTTGCAGAGGGCACTGCTCCTGAGCAATCTCTATCTGCCTACAGAACGGATGAAAACGCCTCCCCACCCCTGCCAACAAAATAGGGCACCTAATTGAAAGCCACGCCACGAGTGCTTCTCCATCCCCCTCCCTCCCCAGCACTACATCTGCATTGCATCTTTTGTCTGCTCTACATCAGATGCACCTTTTTTGCTTGCTCTGAATGAAAACAATCCCTGCCTCCCCACAGTGAGGATGACAGCCTCTTCCCCAAGCGTGAGCGCTAAATGAGAGCCGTGCTCGCTCTGTGTACTTTGGGAGGCAGCAATATTTCCAAGGACTAAATTATTCCCTCACATTTTCAAAGTGTGTGGCACAGATTTTGAACTTCAGCTCCCACAGCAGTTAAAGCAAAGGAGAGGAGATGGGGTCCCCTGGGTTTAGTTCCCCCTGAGCCCTGGCGTGACGAGCAGAGCTCGGCTCTGATGTGTTCAGGGCTGCGGGCAGGGGTGGCAGATGTCTGTCCTGTGGGATCTGTCCTCTCATTTTCACTTTGGGGAAAGCTTTCTCCCAGTCCTCCAGCTGAAATATCCAAGCTGTTGGGAAAAGGGCTACAAGGGAAAAGGAAGAACTGAGCAATGTGACAGTTTGGGAGCACACGCTGGCTCTCGCTCCTCCAAAATGTGTCGCGTAGGCAAAGCGTGCAGCTGTGCAGGGTTGGGAACGGCCTCTGGTGCTCCTGCCTTCGAGCCAGCAGCATTTATAGGCTCAAAGGACAGAAGAGGCAGGGGCTGCCTTGGCTCTGGGAGATCAGCAGCCAAGAGATAGAGACATGACTGCAAAAAGCAGCTGTGCCCCAGCTTTGCCAGGCAGTAGGTGCTGTGTGGAGGCCAGGAGCGAGCTGGAAAGCCACCGGTTCAGCAGGGCAGGGCTTGCCAGAATGCCTCTCATGCAGGCTCTGTTTGCAGATGTGCCAGCCTGGCTTCTTCCCTCTCTGCCACGAGCAGAGCCTGCAGCCCTCACCCACGGTTTGGGGCCATCAGGGGTGCATGGTGACCCAGCTCAAGCCATCCCCAGGGAGAATCTGGCTTTAGAGTTTCTCTGGTGGCTTTTTCTTACATGATATTCCCTGCCCCTTCTTTCACAGCAAAGAAATGGCAAAGTTCTGGCCATATAATTAGACCAAGAAATTCTAGCTCCCTACTCCCAATGGTCTGAATCTACTGAAATCTACTGAAAATCAATGTCCTTTATCAGCTGCAAAATTGTTGTTGCAGGAGGCGAGTCACGCACAGCTGCTGGTTTTGATGAGTCCCTTGTACCTGGCTGTTCACCTACCTGCTGGGCTCAGCTTCTCACTGAGAGGGAATGGTTTTATCCAAAACTGAGGTGAGAGCACCGAGTGCTGGTTCAGAGGAGGTTACCTTGGAAAAGAGAGGGAGAACCTTCTTCTCCAAAGACAAAGAGGGAGTTTTTGATGCGACAAAGACTTCTCCCCAGGCTGTCACAACAAGCAGCTTCTAACTGAGGTTGCCCTTGCAGAGTGCAAAGTCTCTCAACAGAAAAAAGGCAGAGATGTGCTGCTTCAGGACAGCTGGTATTTGAAGGTAACAAGTGACTGCATGTCTTGCTGTGTTTTTCTCAGTTTGGATCCAAGCAGGGCTTCTGTCTGTAGGCAGAGGACACCCTTGAACAAACCCTTGCATCCCACAGTGCTTCACCATGTGCCTCAGATCATTGGGAAGCCCCCCAGCTCTCACTCTAATTGCAGTTGTCTCTCTGTGTGTGAGTGATGTGCATCACTGGAATTTCCCCAAGGCTACAATGTGCAAGGGGTACATGTGCTCACTTTAATTTCAGAATTGAAATTCCAGTGAATCACTCATCCCTTGGACCAGAAAAAAATTGTCCCTGTTGTAAAGGGGTAGACTTGGCTACATTGGTAGGAACAAGGTTTTGGCCACACTTTTTTTAGTCATATTGTAGAAATGAATAGTTTCCTATCTTCCCTTCATTTTCAAAGATACACAGATGCATTTGTCTTGATGCTGTAGAGCCAGAGCTCAGTTAATTTCTGTGCCTAACAAATAATGCATTTTTGATGGGCTGATTTTTATCAGATTACTCACCTCATGGAGCTTTACCATGTCTAAATTCCTTAAAAAAAACCTCCCTGTTCTCTTTCCTAGAGCAGGATACAACAACCACAGTTACCACCTGTGTTTTACCACGAGTTCTTTTTCCTCTCTTCTTTTCAAATGTTTGACACAACTGGGCAGAGGCAACTTCTCATTTTCTCTGTGTGTGACATTGCTCAGTGGCAGCTGCTGAAAGAAAAGCCCCATCATAATCAGTGTGTTTTGCCTGTAGCACAAGGCATTTCAGCAACATTGAAAAGCTGAAAGGAAATAGGAGATAAGTTGGAAATCATGAGCTGAAATGTGCATTTCCATTTTAGAGATTAAATTAGAAAAATATATTATCGTGAATTTAAAACAGCATCATCAGCCAGCTTGACAGCTCATCTGGGCTCACGCTGGGCTGTTATTGAGGGAGCTTGGGCTAACATCCAGCCTCAGGATCCTGATCTCTCCAGTGTTCAAAGGCTGGATGGAGCTTTGGGGTGGTGCTGCTCAGTGGGGAGCAGGAGAGGTTTCTGCTGGAGCCAGGAGCTGCTGACTGAAGCACTTGGTGAGCTCAGTGACCTGCCAGCAGTACCTTGGGAAAGTGCTGCTGACCCATCAACAGCGAGGAGGAAAAGGGACATAATGGGGAAAAATTTGCACAGCTGGAAGAGCTGAGATCAAATAAAACAATCCTGTAGAGAATGTAACAGGCAGGTAAATTAACAGCCATTTCCTGGCCACCAGGAGCATTGCAGTCCTGCTGCACAGGTGACCCAGCTGCAGTTGCACAGGTTTGGATGACGTTCAGACAATCCCCAAGTGACAGCACACAGGAAGAAAACTGGAGGGTATTTCCAATACCTCAGCTGATGTATTTTCAGAATTAAACCAGGGATCATACACAAGGCTCCCTGGGGCACATATGTACCCCTCCAGAAGGTTGGGAACTCTCTCCCCTCTGCTCCTGGCTTTATTCTTTTGGCCCCAAGGCAGGGACTCTCAAAGCATCTCTGTTGAAAAGATTTGGGAAATGTTCTGTGTCCCATCCTGGCAGTGGTTAAAATTAGGAGTGAATCTGTTCCTTGTTGTCATTGTAAGCTGTTTCACTGCCCATATTCCTGCCCAGCAGGAATTCCTGTTTTCCTTCTTTGACCCTTTTCTCCAGGTAGGCATTGGGGTAGGTGAATAGACTGCTATGTGATACCAAGCTCAACCCATCTTTTTGGTGAAAGAAGATGAAAAGATGCAGAAAAGCTCTGTTATGAACCAGATAAGAGAGATGGGTGCATTTCATGATCTCTAAAATGAGGGAAAGGGTCCAGCCTTGACTGATAGGACATCTTCTCTGTGTAATACTGTTTCACTGGACCTTTTGAAATACCCAATGTTCACGTGGAATGCTGAAAGTCCTCAGGAAAAGTTAAATTCTACATTAATTAAACAATCAATCTGCAAAGAACGTGACACCTTCAAAGGCAGTTGAAGTATCAGATTGAGAGGTTGGAAGCACAATTTATTTACCTTGGCTGAACAAGTCATTACAGTTCACCAGCAGGAAAAGCTGAGCCAGCCATGCTCTTTGGCTACTGTGTGTGTAAGGTAAAATATCTGAGCTTAAACCTCTCATTTCTGAGAGTCCTTTCCTCCAAGCAGAGAATTAACGCATGCAGAGTATCAAAATAACTTCTAGAAGTCGAGCCAGAACAAAGAAGTGTTACCCAGGGAAGAAGCTGCTTCACAGCTTTTTTGGAATGAGATCTGTTCTTCAAGATGGTTTAATGAAGAGGGAAAGGCAGGAGATATCAGCAGGCTGTGCATATGGAATAGGGCTAGTTGTCTTGAGAGAAATTAAAAATAGGTAGATTGTTGTGCCAGTTTTTCCTGTCTTCTGTCATAAATGGTCTCAAAATCTAGCAGGGAAATCACTGGGAAGATGCACAAACTGGAGGAGTAAAGCAGCACAAAAGGTTCAGCAGGGTCACTGGGTGAAAGCCACGCTGAAGGTCTGAACCTCTGGCCAGGCAGGGAGCAGAGGCTGGGCAGACAACAGGCAGGGTTCTGGTTTCATTTCTCTATTCAAACACAGCTGAAGGAAATGCTTTCTCTTTTAGGAGAAAGACTTGAGCTCCATGCTATAGAACCATGAGAGGTGCTGTTCCTGTCCCTGCAGGTCTGGCGGTGGCCCCTGGTGACATGTCACAGGGGGAGTGCCAGGTATATAATGCTGAAACAGGCACTGGTGCTGCTGAGGTGTCTGTGCAGGATGCAGGGTCACACACCAGCTCCTTGACAAGAAACTGAGGCTCAGCTCTCACAGAAGGGTCAAGTAGAACGTGAGGTTCATGTGTGGTGTGAAAGAAGAGATGCTTCTGCCTGGAGGGAAGGCTGCAGTGCTGTAAGGCCATTGCCACAGCCAGAGAGGGGAATGCATTCCCACAGAATTACCTCTTGAAAGCTCAGTCTGTTTTTCTTTCACTGATCCCACCAAAGCCAGTGTCAAGACTTGCTAGGATGAGTTTCAAAAGAAGTTGTGATGATATGTTAGCACGAACAGCTGAATTTTGGCTTTTCACAAACAGTAGGAAAAGTCACTGAAGGTCTTTTCTCATCAAGAAAACACATGGAAAATCCACAGAATGTTCAAGACCCACTGAGAGAATCCTGTAGGGAAGATTCTGGCCTTGCCAGGCTTTTGATTGGGAGTCTGTGTTGTCTGGCTCCATCACCAAATGTGAGGACAGACTGCTGGGGATTGGGACTTTACAGCTGGAAAATATCACCAACTCCTGCCCGTGTGCACACCCTGTCCAGGACACGTGCTTTTGAGCACAGTTAGAATCAAGAATACAGAGGAAGTGGAGCTTAGATGAACTTTTCTCCTGTATCAGAATAAACACACAGTTTGCATTAATTTGTGCTGATCTCTGCATGTCTCCATTATATGGCTGTATACATCTATAATTATTTCTATATAAATGAATGGAGGGACATTTCTCTCAGAACTGCACATTGCCATCAAGATGAGCTTGGCTGGAACCACCCACACAGCCCAGAAATGAAGTGTTTTCTGCAGTCAGCTGTCTCCTGAGTAAAACCAGCACTACATCTTTGGATGTGCTGATCCAGGTTGGGGATCTGGCATTCAACAGAGAGAAGATTAAAGCAGGGGATTGGTGTACAGGCTTGATTTCACCAGTTCTGGTGCTCTAGAACAGGGAGTCTGATCCCTGCCATCCTCTCTGGGCTGTACAGTGAGGCAGCACAAGGACAGGGATAAGGGGTGGCACCAGCTCACACTGTGCACACCAGGTGTCCATGGGTCTTCTTGCAAGGAGTCCCACAGACTAAATATTGCTGTCATCTGATTGATTTTTTTCTTTGACCATTGCATATATTTCCAGTAGTACTTTTTAGATGATAAAACCCCCTGGTGCTGTGACTTTCCTGATTCAGGTGCATCCTGGGCTGTGTTCAAAATTATGATACAATCCCCAAAGCTTGAATGTGAGCCAGACTCTCTCTTTCCCAAACTGGCAGGCAGCAAGGACAGCAATGAACATATTTTTCACAGTTATGCATCTTGCATCTGACTCAGGTTGTTGTTATTATGCAGTAAGTGTTTCAGTCTGAACATTAAAGAAAAGAAAAAATGTTCAGGTCCTAAGGGGGGAACAAAAATCCACTAATCCAACATAGGCTTTATTTGCTTGTTGACTACCAACTGATGTTGAGAACGACGGGACTCCCAGAGCTTCAAATAAGATTAGAGAGTAGGAAATAGGACATTTATTTCAACTCAGATACTTACTTAAATCTTCATTCTAGCTACACAGCTACATATTTGGACATCTGGCAAAAATTCTTGGCAGTGCACAGGTTCTGAAAATGTTGTTGATCTTTAAAATCAATATTTCACTTAGGAAACTGCTCACCTACCTACATGTTCGTGAGAGATAATTTATCCAGATGCCATTTCTAAAGTCACTAATTATGCAGGGAAAGGCATTTCTTTATCACTCTTGGACAACTTCTACCCCCCTCGATGACCATGAATGTATAAAATACATTATTACTGTTTATTCATATCAGTTGGAAGATTTAAAATATGTCTGTACATGATTTCCATAACTGGGACCCCTGTGCTGGTTAAAAAGTATGTGGACACACCAAACTCATGTGAATGGATGTTGGGCATCCACAAGTTGTCCTTTGGTGCCTCTGACCACAAAAGACCAGTTGTCCCTCTGTAATTAATACTCTGAATCTCATATTATTAAAATACTAAGCTGAATCTTGCTTTGCTTAAGAATCAGGTGGCTTGAAATAGAGTCTGTGAAAGTCAAACAATGGGGTGGTTGTGATTTCCTGAAGCTGCTGTATTTGATTTGCCTTTAACTCTGTTAAGTGTCTTGGCAAACCTTTAATTTGAAATCTGTACAGGCTGAGCATCACACCCTGCTAGGCCTATCAACAGATGGAGGAATTACTGGAGGCAAAATGTATATCTTTATGCTACCCTTTTTTTTTCTTTTTTTCCCCCCTCATTATACTAATCATGCACTGAAGTGATCAGTAACCCCAGAGAGTGACAGATTTGTTTGCAGCAGAGGGTGACCCTGGAGGAGCATGGGACTAACAGACACACAGGTGGTAGGGTTTTTCCCAACACGGGCTGACTTTTTGTTGTGGGAAACTTGGAAGCTGATGGTAAACAAGGAAATCAGGTTTGCATCCCAGAGAGTTAGGAAAACATGAGGCTGTTTGGATTTCCAGTGTGGAAGGTGTGGAAGCTGCAGGGACCCTGTGCCTGGTCCGTGCCCTTTCTGCAGGAGATTAAATCCTTGTGATGCTCCAACACTGAGCCCTCCGAGCCTGGAGCACCGTGGTAGCCTTTCCTATTCACACTGCAGCACTTAGAGGAGAACCTGAACACGCCAGGCTCAGTTAAAGTTTTGCAAAGACACAGGAAAAAAAAAATCCCTTAAATTCACCTGGCTCACCTCCAGAGTGCACATACTGCCCAAATGAACTGGAGGGAAATTAAATAAAGAAGCCCCTGCATTTTCTCTTTACTGAGCTTGCTAACATTTTCTTCATTAATCATTAATCATGGAGCTAACTAAATTACAGTGGGAGTGAGCTTTCATTATTCCCCCCACACCCCAGACAGTGCTGTTTTGTGCAGGTGCTCACACATTTCTGGAGAACCCAGTGCTAGCACTAGCTGGGCTTTGCTCCTGCACCCTCAGGGAAGCTGTCAGGACTGCAAACTCCCACATCCCACAGCAAAGTCCCCTGGCTTCCCTCTCACAAACTCTATTTCATCTGTCATCCCCAAAAGGACAATTTTATTTACAAGCAAAGCTCTTCAACACAAGGCACATCCCAGAGAATTATTTGCTCAGTTGCCCTCAGGGTGATATTATTTTATTAAAAAAACAAAAAAACAAACCCCCAAACATTTCAAAGTAATCTGTGGACTAAAAAAAAAAAAAAAATACAGGTGCAGGTGAACCTTACTATACAACTGAGATATGAAATGAAATTCAATCATGCAGAAATTGCCAACAACTTATTATAGATGAATGGGGTGGGAAGTGCATTTTGTCTAATCCCAAGGCATTTAAAAATAACTATTCAGCATCCTCTCACCTGAAATGTATCATCTTATTGATTTTGAGCTGACTTTTGCAGATTGACTCTAGCTGCCTGTTTGGCTTTCATGCTTTCAAGTCCTCAACTGCCCAGAAAATGGTGCCACTGCCATTCTCGAAGATGTTTTTAGTGTAACAAGCTTAAGGTGAACTAGAACAATAGCTGGGAATGAGAAAAGCTGAATAATAACTCCAGCCAGCTGGGAATAATGAGCACACAGCCACAGCTGAGCTCCTCTGTGATGGGATGGAAAATCTGGGTGTTTTTAAGGATTAACCAGCTACACAACCAGGAGAAAATATTTTCAACTGGAACAAGATTTTGTCAATTTTCACTGTGCAACATGGTCAAACGTGAAGGAAATGTCGGGTCACTTGTTACAATGATTTATCTGCCAGCTAAATTGTTCCTCCTCAGGCCTTCTGGTAATGTTCAGGACCTCCTAAGATATCTTCCAGGTTGCCCCTGATGTTCTTTTTTGTCAAGTACTGAACTCTTTGCAATGGAGAACAAGCCCAGTCAGGGCATAAACACCAGGGCAGAAAATGTTAATAAAGGGGAAAAAAAAAAAAAAAAAGAGAAAGCTCTGCAGAAATGGGAGTGAAATGAGAGCATATCTCACTTTCAGGATTGAAATTGTATTTCAGGGCTGGTTCACTGAATCATGAACTTGGACTGAAAGGGTTCCTGGCCTGAGCACTTAGCAAGCCCATTCCAGTGTGCACGGCTGGGAGATTTCCCTCTGTGAGTTTCTGGTTAATACAATCTTCAATCCTGACAAATCTATGCAGAGTCAGAACATTTCAAACACAGGGAATCCACCAAACTTTGGATTTTCTATCCAAATACCTTGCTGGTCAACAAACACCATGGGCAGAGTTCAAATATATCTTGGAGAAACAGAGAAGTGTGAGGGAGCATCAGACACCAGAGCTTGTATGGGGCACCCCTGGAGCACCCCAAACTGGTGGGAAGCTCCTGAAACTGCTCAGCATGTCCAGGTACTGTGGAAATGTGGTTGGAGAGCAGAATAAAAAAGCTCAGCCTCCTTCCAGCACCTCCTTTTGCTGGGGCAATCTCTGGGGCACCCATGTGCCCGAGGGAAAGCTCACAGCAAAAAGGCTGAATTTTGCTTTCAGTCTGAAAGGTGAAATTCACCCCAAATGGTTGCTGCTCTGGAAATATCCAGAGTGGGATTTAGGTCAAATAAAGCTGGGTTAGAGTAACTCTTCTACAAAATTGAATGTGTCTGGGATCAGAGCTGATATCACAGCCTTGTTGGCCAATTGCATTGGATATACAGGGGGGTTCAGGTGTGTCTCCAAACTGCTGCAAATTATTGAGCATAAAAACACAAGAAATTACAGTTCAGGTTTGTAAAACTGTGCTGACAGCCCTCCTGATAGTTTTGTAAGATTTCTTTTCTTTATAAAGATGCAGGAAAACCGCCCAAAGATCTTCCCTTCCACTCAGAAAAAAATCTGAATTTCTGTGGGGCAATACAATTGGCAAGTATGTGGGCTGGAATTGGGACACCTCTCAGCATAGCTGATTGTGGAGATTCCAGAGCTGAAAGAAAGAGTCAACCTACAGCTACCATGGTTTGGGATATTTTTGGTTATTTCTTCTACTCTTCTTCTAGAAGTCATTATGACAGTGGAAATTCACATTGCCCTATCCCATCCTTGTGTTCCTGTGCTGTTGCACCAATCTGCTTCTGAGGCATCTGCTCATGGCATCCTGGGGAGGCTTAGGCTGGATATCAGCAAAAGGTTTTACACCCAGAGGCTGGCTGAGCAGTGGAACAGGCTCTCCAGGGCAGTGGTCACAGCACCAAACCTGACAGAGCTCCAGCAGCATTCAGACATTGCTCTCAGTCTTAGGGGACTTTATTGGGGTGTCCTGCACAGGGCCAGGAGCTGGACTCTGATCCTTATGGGTCCCTTCCAGCTCAGGATATGGATATGAATCCATCACTCACCCAGGTGTGGATGGAGCTCCTTGCTCTGAGCACAGACCTGGGCCAGCCCTCAGCCACCTCCTGCTCAGTGATTTGGTGGGTGGAGGAAGAAGATGGGTCCAGCAGTGTGTTAGGACAGGTCAGGGCTTGGGGTGGCCATGTAGCTAAACTGGTTTTGGCTGACCTGGCCATCCCATCTGCAAGCTCTTAGTGAATACCTTCACAAGAGTGGAAGAGGCAGAAATGATTTTAGCACCTGTCAAAACAATGCAGGTGACTCTGAGAGCTAGAGCAGCGAAATCTCAAGTACAGATTCCCCAATTTCAGCTCACCTGACACTTCCTTCCATCCTCACTGCAGTGAATCCAGAGCTGCCCAGCAGCTCCTGCAGCTCAGCAAAATGACAGAACAGCACTCCAGTAATTCTGACATAACAAGAACGGCACATTAATCTCACAGCTGGGCACCAGCAACAGCCAAAACTCTGTGCAGACAGAAATCAAAGGAGAGTCTCACCGTTTCTAGGTCTCACTGTTCACGGGAACCCAGGGTACCCATCCCTCAAAGGGGAGCAGTGGTTTTGAGCACAATGTGGTTCGTGGGATGCAGAGATTAAAAATTGAGTGTTTCTTTAGTCTAAGTTGCAGCTTTGGTTTTCGAAAATTAATCACAGCAGGTTAGAGGGCCCAACACGTTTTTAGAAAGATACAAAAGCGTGGTAATCTTTGTTAAAAAAAAAAAAAGAAAATAGTGTGTTGTAACAGCAACACTGCCAGGCTTACATCTAATGTTGAACAACAGGGGTTCTACTAAGCAGACATAACTTCACTTTAAGCATTCTGCTAATTCCCAGGTACCATCAGGAGACAGCTTCCCTGTCAATCACTTCTGTGTGCCTGACAGCTTATGGCTTAACTGCTCCTATCTCGTATCATTTAACCAAATATTATCTGTTTTGACATTCACGACTGAGATACTTGGCTCGTAATTGGGAATGAGTACAACAGAGCAGAACAGAGTGATTTCCTTCCCCAAGGATGGTTGTTAGGGTGATGTGGCACTCTGGTGTTTGACTCTCTGCACGACAGAAACCCTCCCAGCAGCCCTGCAGAACAGACAGAGGGAAGGCTCACGTGTGGCTGAAAACAGAGGCTCGTCCTGGGGATGCACAAGCAAGGGGACACTGCCCAGGTGCCAGTGGCCTTGTCTGTAAGAGCCTGATGGAGAGATGGAGGCTTTAGATGGCTTTTAAAATGCTGTTTATTGCATAGGCGAGGTTACAACAATTGGGGGTCGTGGGTGAGCCCAGAGGTGCTGGCTATGGGCAGGCCCTGTGTCCTGAAGCCCAATTCTATTCATGTTACAAAGCATTATAGCTCTTTTTCTGCTGTGCATCTTATTACAGAACAACTAATTAACATCATACACAGTACCTTTTACATTTACATAGAGCCACTCAAAACTGCTAAAATTACCATATTATGTTAGTGACTAGCCAATCATCTGAGTTAGTAGTTACATGTTAAACTTTGGGACTTGTTTTGCAGTGGAGATTTTTTTTAGCTTTGGTAAAAAACATTTTTTTGCCTGCCTATGTTTTTTTGCTTGGTAGAAAACATGTCTTATTTGAAGAAGACTTATCTTTTTGTTTGAAGGCCACTTAGTCTTTGGACTTCAGTCATAAAACTCCTTCCAACTTGACTAAACCTTTGTTCTCTCAGCCATTTCAACAACAACTGGCCCTAAAACATCTTTTATATGTCAAAACTTGCTTTCATTTCTATAGAATCTTCTGTATATGTGTAAAACTTTTCTGTTAAATTTTCATCCTTCCCAACACTCACCTGTACTCGTGTGTTGGGCTCTGCATCAGCAGGACCCAGGGCTGGCACTGCCCTGGCCCCAAACCAGGGCACACGTGGGTGAGGTGAGGGCACAGAGGTGCCCCACTGCAGGGCAAAGCCCAGCACACCATGGGCCTGAGCTGCATCCTCTGCTTCAGCAGCGTGCTCTTTGGGTTTGTTTCAGACATTTAGGAGCATTCTGGACTATGGAAGTATGTGATCTCCTGCCTGGGTTGTTGTTTGACTTCCATTTACTGATTGGAGGGCAATCTGCAGACACCACAATGAAAACTGAGGTGGTGGATTCTGCTGCTTCTGTCTGAAGGGGGAAAGTGTCCAGTGCTCAAACCAGGGGAGCCAGTGCTGCCCTATTTCACACCCACCAGACCTCTGGATTTTTCCCAAATTCAGATAAGTCCACACAAAAAACCCGATGCTGGTTATCACTTAGATCAGAACCAAGATAGAGAAAGAAGGGATTTTACACTGCATGTCAGAATAACATTATTCTTCCTGAATATGTGTGACAGAAGAAAACTGATAAAGCTATTGACAGCACAAACCAGAAAGAAATATGAGATGAGAGGAGATTGAGCTCCTTGATCTGTTTGATGTAACCAGTACTGTCAGGTGAGTATCCTAATTAATGCAGGTATCTCATTCTAACTGCATGGATCAGGCCACTTTGCCTTTCAATAATCCATGGAGCTGTACCTGGCATTAATCTTATTAATGGAACTGTTATACTGCTTACAAATTAATATCCATCTTGAGATTATCTACTGGATGTGCTTATGTGCAAAGGGATGTCTTTCCTCTGAACTGTAAGAATGGGAATTCCCCCAAAGTTCTTGGGATTTGAAGATTTCAAAATTGACTCCTGATGTTGAGACTTCAAATGCAGATTTTAAGTGTCCAGATGTAGGAAATGTAATCTCATTTCTGCTCTTTAAACAATGCTGCTGTTTGTATCACATGGAAGCAATCTTGTAGTGTGATGATTTCAGATTAAATTTTAATAATGCTGCTGGGTGAAAGGATTTACTGACAAGTGTCTCTGAAAAGAGGAAAACAGCCTGTGAGGACAATTCCTTGAAGCCAAAAAAGAGTTTTAGTTTTTAGTCCAAGAAAAGGAAGTCCAAATGGGAGTGAAATTTAGGCTTCCCACCTCCTTTAGTCACCTCCCTCAGTGCAGTCCACATTTGTCAAAATTGTTTCCTTTGATGAAGTTTCCCCCTTCTCAGAAGAAGACTCTTGAAGTACAAGTGGCTCTCAAGGGGCCAGGAAGCAGGACAAAGAACTCTGGAGTTGAATGTCACAGCTGAGAGGAAAAGGACACATGAAAATGAAATTAAGAGTATGAAGGAAAACTCAGGAAATGACTGATGATGTCTCCTGAGCATATTTGAATGCATGCACCCAGGTATCTTGTTTTCAAAAAACAAACAAAAAATAGTAAATTGAGCTCTACTATGCACGTATTAATTGAGAAATGAAAAAAAACATGCAGCTGTCAAATGTATTCCTGTATTTTTGCAAGTCTGTGTTTAGATAGGCCATGTGTCTTTTCTGGTTTTAGTAAAATTTTTCATGTAAATTTTATATGGAAGAAATTATTTTTCTGGAGGGGATTATACCCCAGATGCTGTTTTTCTCTGCAGATTCCTGTATGTCTTGCACACTTGGTGGCACCCTGTTCTCACCTCACTCTGCCTGAAAATAAAGAATGCACTGGGCTCTCCTTCATGTAACTTGGGAGGTTAAGCTTAGGGAGACCTTCTCCTCATAGATTCTGTACTCACAAGGCTGCAAGAAGAGAAGCAGAGCAGGAATTGGGGTGTAAACTCACTCAGAGGCAAACTCACAACTGGACTGGGCTGGGCTGCACAAGGGCACACTGCTGGCAGAAGTGGAATATTCACCCCAGAACAGAAAAATAATCCATCCTTCCTGCTCTGGAGATGACCTGCTTGGTGAATGGGAGGTCCATCTCAGCCAGGCTGAGGAAAAGTCATTTAACCTGACAGCTGAGAGACTATTCCCTCTCCAAAAGGGCCCTTTCCAGAGTGCTAGACCTTAATATAGGCAGCTGTATTTTTTCTGCCTCACGTTGATGGAGCATGAAAGTTAAATACCTAATCATTTAGATTTCTATTAGAAATACAGGCAAAAATGGAAGTGACAATATTGTAATAGTACTGTGTTTTAGCCACTCTTACCAGTTACGTTTGAAGCTTTAAGCTGTCAGGAACTCTAATAAAATGAAATTGAAGTGACAAAAAGAAACAATTCCTTGTTTAAAGCCTTAATTCCTGCACACCTTCCTGGCTGCAGCTGCTGTGTGCCAAAATGAGAAGAAATAGGGAATGCTCCATCCCAGATGTGCTGAGACCCCTGTGCCTCTGTGTGGCCAAAGGATGCTGAGCCTGGCTGCAAAAAACCCCATGAACAAACCCATGTGTCTCCAAGCCCATAAAGCAGAGGTGGACACAGCCTGAGGAAGTGCAGGCACTTAATTTCAGGCTGAAAGTCACCGTGCAGTTAAGGCATGTATTGATCTGCGTCCTGTGCGAGCACTTTATGAGTGATTTCTTATGTAAGTGTCAGGTGAGAGGCATGAATAGAGACCTAATTAAATTGTACACAAAGTACAGGCAGTAAATCTCCCCAGCAATGCCAGCCTGCCTTGGAGCAGCCCAGGAGAGCAGACAAGATGGCATAAATGAAAGATAAAGAAATACTAACAGTCTGCAACAGCTCGGCTCATGAGACACTAACGTGGCACAGCTGGGGATATCAAAGGACAAAATGTGCCATTCCTGGGACATGTTCCACAGTCCTAAACCACAAAACAATGGGAATTTTGCTCTTAAATAAAATTTTGCTCTTAAATAACAGCCTTGTGTTTCTCCCCTGTGTCATAGCCATTATTCCATCACTGTTTTAAATTAATGCAGTCTCTATCTGTGATCCGTCCCAATAGGCTTTTATACCCAGTGTAACATTGCAGAGACAAGGAGAGTGCAAAAATAATAGGGAAGTGAAAAAAAAATATTGTTATTGTATGAGACAACCATCAATATTAGGACAATGAGATATTGTTGTTTTTTTATGGCAGTGCTACTGTCCTTTGAGGAGGACTGGGCCCAGCTCACGATGAGCTGGGTGGGATACAGGATCTTCACATTCAGCTTTTGGATGGGCTGAATATCTCACAGCTACTATGAATTAACAGCTTTATGACAACATTTTCAAAAGCAAAATGATTTTGGATATGTCTGTCAGGATGGATGAAAACAGATGCAAGTCTTTTCTGCCTTCAGTCCTGGCTAGTTGAAAATTCTGGTGTCTAAGTTAGACACAGCTGCTTTCTGCTTTTGGGAAATACCACAGCCAAGGTAATAAATACTAGTGGAAATAAATACTACAATATATTGGCTTGGGCATAGCATGGCACTAAGTTATCTCTACAGCTTTTTGGACTCGAGCTGGCTTGTGTTTCTGCACAAAGGAGCTAAGGTCCAGGTCAAGGTATTAAACACTGACTCCCCCGAATGACAACCCAGAGCTGAATTACAGCTGGCTTGCTTTGGGGATTTGGGGTTGTTGTTTTCCTTAGCTTCTCCTGAAGATGGGTCTCTAGAGTTTTTTCCAAAAGGTACCTCTTCTTTCCTATAAAAACCTGGTCCAGAATCTGCACTGCATTCCCTCTAAACTCCTATTGTGGTCCTTGGACAAGGAGAAAGCTATTCCCAGCCTTTTATCTTGGCCGTGTGGCCTGGGACCTATTTAAATTTTACTCATCTGTTCTCTTCATTAAGTCTGCATTGGGGTGAGAGTCTTCTCTTTTACCTCTGGGTTTCCTTGCATTGTGCCCGTGCCCCTCCTGGATAATGTGATGGAGCAGGGCACACTAAGGAAATCTGCTCATTTGTAAAGCCAGTCATTAATAAGAATCAAGATGGCTTTACCACAGGGGTGCCAGCATCACTTGGCTGACAATGTCCCTTACGATCCTGGAGAGGTTTTAATGGATTGAACAGGTTGATGTTGTCATTTCCAATTTGCTGAACCATCTGACAGTGCTCCCAACAATTAGCACGTACAAAATACGGAAATGTGTTATCTTTTGCATTAAAAAAAGAAGATGGGAAGCTGCCTGGTCTCTGGAGTTGTATAACAACTTGTTATTCTGAAGTGCTTGCTTTGACTTTAAATAGATTTCAGTACAGCAGAGTCACCCTAACCTTGGGATAAATTTAGCTGTTGCCTGAGTCAGTAGCGGGGTTTGGGATCATTAAAAGCCGATCAGGAATTAGCACGAGCTTCCTGCGGTCGGAACTGCTGGAGGTGCTGGTTCTGCTCCTGCAGCCCAGAGATGGGCAGTGCTGGCCACACGAGGGGACAGGGACCACTGCTGAGACCCCATGCACAGTGCCAGTCACTGCTGAGACCCCCACACAGTGCCAGTCATTTTCCCTCCTCCTCCTCTGCAATCCCCACCCCAGCACTGCGCTGCAAACACGGGAGACAGCAAAGGGACTCACCCAAGGTCACACACAGGGATGGAGCTCGGGTCCATGGCACCTTGTGTCCTGGCTCCTGCAGGGGGACAGAGACAGGAAAAGCAAGCCAGGACAAATGAACACTCATGCATCAGGAGGTGCTGCCAGGGAGGTCATCCACTCTTGGTTGTTGAGATGAA